CTTGGATCTTTTGTCTTGTAGTTCTGGCTTTCATTCAAGATGATCATAGCATTGCACAGTAGTTGTTGTAATCTTGCAGCAGCATGGCCTAGAAGACATGGCAAAAAAAGTCTGAGGTTGGCTGAACTTATTTGGAACAAAAACCAGAGCTAAACAGAAAAAGACTTGCCCAGGTTGTCTGTTCTAAGCATCAGTGACGTTTTTAAGGGAGGGATTATTTCTGGCATCTCAGGTGCAAACTTCTGGTTTTGTTGTCAAAACTTACTTTTGTGACCACGTCTCTGATTGTCTCTAGGTGAAGACTACAGAGGTCGGTTCACCATCAACAGCCACACAGGCGCTGTCAGCACCACGCAGGTCCTTGACCGGGAGGAAGCCCAGAATTACACTCTCACCATACAGGCCCGGGACTATGGCCCCACCCCGCTCAGCTCCTCCACCCAACTCCAGCTGGTGCTGCTGGACCAGAACGATAACGTTCCCGCCTTCAGCCGCAAGAGCTATCACGCCTCCATCAGCGAGGGCCTACCTGCTGGAACTGAGGTCCTGCGCGTTACTGCCTTCGATCCCGACGAGGGCTCCAACGGGGACGTGACCTACTCCCTGACGGACGACAGCAGCCAGGGGGCCTTTTCAATGGACGCCTTCACGGGTCAGATCAGCACCACCAGGTCTCTGGACAGAGAGAGCAGGGCTCAGTACACCCTCAGAGCCGTGGCCACAGACGGCTGCTCTCAGGGCCCGCTGAGCTCTGTGGCGTCAGTGACCATACAGGTGGAGGACGTGAACGACAACATGCCAGTCTGTGACCAGAATCCCTTCAACGCTTGGGTTTCCATGAGGACCCTGCCAAACCAGATCGTTACCACAGTGGTGGCAACAGACGGTGACCAGGGGGAGAACGGGACAATACAGTTTGCATTATCTGATGAGGAAAATCTGTTCGACATCAACACCGAGTCTGGAAAGATTTCACTGAGGAGGCGAGTGAGAGCAGGTTTCTCTGGGAGGAAGTTACAGGTTGTGGTTTCAGACCGAGGACGTCCTGCTCTGACCTCCACCTGCCTGGTTTTCATTCATCTGAAGGGAGAACACGAAGGACTCCAGTTCACAAACAAAGTGTACAATGCTTCTGTCAAGGAGAACAGCAGAGCCGGTACGTTTTCTCAGCTCTGTTCCTGTTGTTTTCCCCAATACCAATAAAAAAAACCTCATCGATCTTTCCACTTTCTGTTCCTCAAGGCACTTGGATTGCAAAAGTGGAGGCCAGTGACCAAACCAACGGCAGACAGAGAATCACATACACCATATTTAGTGGCAACGAGAATCACATTTTTTCCATTAACCGTCACACAGGTAATAAACCTATGAAATTCTGCTTTTGTTTCCTTTTCAGTTCAGTTTATTGGTTAGGATTAGCAGATGGTGTTTGCAGTACGTATGTGCAGGAACACTGTGAATGCTTTTGTCACTGAAGTTATAAGTAATAGTACAAATTCTCATTCACTGATTCATTACATTTACTCTTTCAGCTAATCTAGTTCATCTAGTTGTTTATATGCAAGCATTTCCTAAAGAAATATAATTTTGTTTGCCTGATTTTATCATATTTTACTTTTTTTGGATTCCCATCTACATAAAGTAAAGGTGCAGACACAGTTAGGCTGAAACACAAAATATTCTACTGACAGCGGACTGAGCGTTTACCGCAAAAACTTGAACCTAGAAGTCCTCCTGTCGACACCTTTGTTAACAGATCAAAACTTCTGTTTTTCTTTCCACTGCTTTACCTTCACTTTTCCATTATTTGGTAAAACGAGGCATCACAAGGCCAAAGAGAAAAAGGCCGTGACCACAGCAAATCTAATTTTTAAGAGCCCATATTATGCTTTGTAGATTTTCCCCTTGCTTTAGTGTGTTATTCAGTTTTTTAAAAGATCTGCAAATCTGTCTTTCATGGGACTGAAATATCGCATTTCAGACAGAGGGTGAAAAGATGTGCTTTACTTTTGTTGTTTTGTTGGGTTTTTTTTTGCATTAAAGTATGAAACATATTCTAGCATGCCCCAAAATACAACTATAAACTTGTACATGTGCATAATATGGGTCCTTTTATTATTATATACACTTTTCCTTCATATAAACTGAGCTGCACCTCCTCAAATGTTGTTTAAAAAGCAGTTTGGTGGTTTACCTTCGTGTTTCCGTCTTATGCAGGTGAGATCCGAGTGCAGAAAGATAACTCTCTGGACTTTGAGGTGAGCCCAGAGATCCAGCTGGTGGTTCTGGCTGACAGCGGGCTGCAGACGGCTCACTGCAGGGTCTCCATCAGCCTGCAGGACGTCAATGACAACGCACCACAGTTTGAACACAGCGGCTACAGAACAGCTGTCTGGGAGGGACAAGTTCACAACACCTACATCATGCAGGTCAACTCTCAGTGTTTCAGCCCTCTTTGACATTAGAGCACCAAGCATGTGGAGGATTTAATTCATTGTGATAATGTGTGGAATGATCCCACTGACACTGACTACTCCCCATGTTTTGAGCAGGTCTTTGCATCCGATGCTGACAGCGGTATGAATGGACAGATTGAATACTCCATCCTCTCCGGTAACCATAATGAAGCATTCATTTTGGACTCTGTGCGAGGCATCCTGGCTACCAATGTTTTACTGGACCGTGAGATCACTCCCTCATACAAGTATGCTCACACTGTACATTAAATGGTGTTAAGTAAACTTTTATTTGCGTTCATGGCATTTAAAGGATGACTATAACAGTTTATGGTCCTACTTATAAAATAAAGAGCCAACATCCTGCTTCCTAACCTCTATAGCAGCTGGACTAAATGTGTATTTTATACTGTACTCGTGTGTACATTTGAGAGCATTTTATCCAGGATACAACAACAAATATGTTCTTGGCATTTTACAACTTGTGTGTCGTAGCCACTGGCACGGTGTCGCAGTTGTTTTGTCTCTGTTTGGAAAAAGGGACAAGACTTCTGTGTTAGTTTAAATGACAACACAGCTCCTACTGTGTGTGGATATGAATGTTAATGTGCAAATAGCAAACACATTAGTGATGTCTAGATGGCTCCTGCAGAACATAAATATGAACTAGTTTCATTAGTAAAAATGTACATGCGGACATAAGCAAAAGGGCTGTTAAAGATCATGTCTTGCATGTTGCAAATTTTTTATTATTTTTTTGGCCTTTCATGCCTTTATTTGATAGTATAGTGAAGAAGGGGACAGGAAAGTGGGGGAGAAGAATGAGGGAAGGACCTGCAGCAAAGTGTCATGAGCTGGGTTCAAACTCACTACCACTGCGTTGGAGCCTTTAGCCCCTGTACATGGGACGCCAGCTCAACCAAGTGAGCCATCGCGGCACCCAGCATGTTGCAAATTTAGTAAAATCTTATCCTCAGAAGAAAACTGTTGGACACACTTTATGACACAGTAAGGTAAAATAGAATATAACTGGTGGTGACTCAGTGGTTAAGGCCTCAGCCCCAGCACCACCAAGCTGCCACTGCTGGTTCCCCGAGCAAGGCCTTTAACCCTATCTGCTACAAGGGCACCTTAGTGTGACTGATCCTACAGTCTGACCGCAGCTTCTACAGGATCAATAGACCATATAAAATAAAATAAATAAATATACTATGCTGCAGCTGTACCAGACAAACTGTGGCCTGCTCTGTAATTCTGGTTTTGCAAAATGTAGCCTGGTGCAACACTCAGGAATCTGCTTAACTAAAAGTAGAATTACTAATTTTAGAGTATAATCAAAAAGTATGAATGCTTTAATCTGTTCAATTTTTCATATCACACTGTGTTTTTTATGCTTCCTACATAGTATATTACATCCAAACACACTCCACAATATGCATTTGGATTAACAGGATCATTGTGTAACTGCTTTATGTTACAGGTTGGTTCTGCAGGCAGCAGACAGGGGGAAACCGCCGCTCAGCAGCACCGCCACCGTTAGAGTCCAAGTGGTGGACGTCAATGACAACAGCCCCGCCATCCCACCCATGGAGCCTGTGGTTATAGCTGAGAGTAAGCCTCACTATCACTGCTCTGCCCTTAGTTTTCCTCTAATGACACAGTCTTGTTAGAACATCAGCACTCATTGCAGGATTTAAACGGGAGTTCAGCGAATTTCAAGTGACAATCTTTGTTTTTCTCCGAATAGATCTTCCAGCAGGTTACATGGTCACCCAGGTGTCTGCGAACGATGTTGACCTGAGCTCAGCCATCACCTACAGTTTCTCCGACAACAGCAGCACCAGCGCCCCGTTTGCTATCGACCGGTACACCGGCGTCGTCACCCTGACTCGAGCTCTGGACTACGAGGAGCAGACAAACTACACTCTGACAGTGTGGGCGTCTGACTCCCTGCATCTGACCACCGGAGAGGTTCAAGTCCAGGTGCTTGATGTGAATGACAATGCTCCAGTCTTCGGCCAGGTCTCCTACCAGGTACAGATAATATATTGATCAATCTAGAGGCAGACACCATTCATGAGTTATAGTGACGAGTTACTATGCTGTTTGAAAACAAATATTTTTCACAAATCTTGATGCCTTACTTGTAGATGGTAAATATTATGACTCTTTATTGATGACTAATGAAGAATATCCAAAGATTTGATGACTTATTATTGTTACTATTATTATTATTATTATTATTATTATAAAACCACACAAGATTAGATCCCAGTGAGTTGGTCTGTCACTTCCAAAAAGATCCAGACTTTTTTTTTTTTTAGGAATTAGGAATCCAGCCACAGTCAAGGTATCCTAACTTCTAGTTTCTAGTTTGTGTCAATCTTTAAAAACTGATATGTCCCATAATACAGCTGGTCTTTCATATCCCCCCATGGTTGTCAGTCTCCGTGAATCCACTTTATTTTTACAGTTAAAAAAATTGAAAACTCAAACTCAAACCTAGGTACCCCTATAATAACATGTTTAATGTTAAGATACGGACTTTAGCAAACTCCCTCCAGAGCTGTAGAAGGCGTCATAAGGGCTCCTCGAGATGAGTGACTAAACCGAACTTGATGTAAAATTGGTGGAGTGACCCTTTAGCCACAGGCTACTCGGAGAGCCATCAGATTATAAACTACTGATAAAATGTTTTCAACTCGAGTGAATTGTCTCGATTTTAACTATTTTTATTTGATTGTTAATAAATGGAATTTGTTCTAGATTTTCTGCAGCTCATTTCTCCACTTAAATACTTTGTTTTAGGAGTCTTTTTCTCGAAAGACTGAGGTCACGTACGAGCCAAAAAGATATTTCACCTCAAAACCCAAACGTTTTTCCTACAGATGCTGATCTAGAATCAGAATCAGAATCAGAAAGGGAGCGCAGTGCCGAGGCTGCCATCCGCGGCGCCATCTTGGAATGCATTAATAAATGATTAATTAAACAATTATTACCCCTTTATAAAGTATCCCTTATTAGAAAGTGGATCTGACTGGATATGGAGTGTACATCATGACGTGACTCATTATTCGTTTCCTGTTTAAGGTGGAACTGTCGGAGTTGGTCTCAGCAGACACGTTTGTTCTGTCAGTGTCCGCTACCGACAGAGACTCTGGACTCAATGGCAAGATCAGCTACCGACTGCTTTCATCTCCTCTGCAAGGTTTTTACATCCAGCCAGACAATGGTAAGAACAGTTTACCTGTGCAATAGCTCTGACATACAATAGACATCGCACACACAGAAAAACATTACTGTACACTGTGTGTGCGTGCGTGTTTTGTGTAGAGTATATTGCCCCGGAAAAGCCATTTCGTCATGCTTTACAGGCAGAAATGGCTGGTCTGGTGGTCTGATTTTCATATTTATTTATCTCAATCTGTCCATTAAAATCAGCTTTTCTGGCATCGTTAAAAGGGGCACATGCCAAAGTAAAGGGCAAAGTCGTTGCCTGTTTGTGAGCAGCTCACCATACAGTATCAAAGGTTACTGAACGTTTTCCTTCTGCTAGCAGCAGCATATTTCACCACTGTTGATATTTTCTGACCTCTTGTGCAAGTGAGTTCCTTGGATAAGGGGAAAGAGAAGGCAATTAAGTCACTGAGATATAGTGCTTCAGATGGCCGTGCCTATGCCATTATCTCCCTTTTCAAAAATCCTTAAACCCAAGAAAGAAGATAAATCCTGAACCAAAACCAGCTTCCCCTTTCAATTCTGGCCAGCCTTTTTCACTCAAGAGTGATTTATGAGCTTCTATCTATGTTTGAACCCCAAATTTAATATCGGAGAAATGTATTTGCTTTGTTTTGCGGTGAGGAGCACCAATGGAAATTTGCATCACTGTTGACTAAAGCACTCAAACTATAATCCAGAAATGTAATGTGGTGCTCTCTGTGGTACAGTGCCTCTGTGTTTCCATGCTTATATGTGTCACAAACAGTGGATGATGCCTCTTTAGAGTAAAGCCTCAGAATGAATACAGTCATCTTGTAGAAAAGTTTAAGTGGCAGTGAAGTGGAATAATAAATTGGATGGACAAACTCTTTGTTGCCATCCAACAAGAAAATTGCTTTTACAGTCTGCACATGGAATTGATTTAAGAATAGTTACACGGGAAATGATGTTGCACTGCGGTGTCTAATGACCAGGCCAATTTTGATGTAACTCTTGATATATTGTCACACAAGCAGACATGTTTTATAGCTCTCATTCTGAAGAGAAACATGTTAGTGTGTTTCTCAAACCATATGTTAAAGCCATTGGAAGGTCATTCAGCTTTACACTGGAGAGGCCAAATTTTAGGTGTTTTTGTAATTTGAATACCAAATATTTCATGAAAAATGCTAAATTAATTTGCTCATGAAATCTTGTCTTGCAGGTTCTGTTTTCACCAACAAGCCATTAAAGGCCATCACAAACAGCAACTTGATCCATCTACTGGTTGAGGCAAGAGACGGAGGCGATCCCGTGCGCTCCACTGTCACCTCCATAGACGTGCTGATTGTGGACATCAACGACCATGAGCCTTTGTTTCACCAGGACATCTACACACTCACTGTCCCAGAGGACACACCCACAGACACCACCCTGCTGACTCTGTCTGCAGAGGACCAGGACTGGAGCCCTCAAAATACCTACTTGGACTACAGCATCATCAGGGGAAATGAGGAGAGAAGATTCTGTCTGGAGGTGAAAATGATTCCAGTTGAGAATCAGATGAAAAACGTAGGAAAGCTTGTTCTGTGTAACCCTTTAGATCGTGAGACCACCGAGAGCTACGCACTAACTGTTAGCGTGTCTGATCGAGGAACGCCTCCAATGAACAGCTCAGCTGTCGTCATGGTGACAGTGACAGACTGCAACGACAACGCCCCCGTCTTTTCCAGCACAGAGTACCACACTCAGGTGAGTGAGAACAGCCAGATAGGTACCAGGCTGGTTCAGGTCAGCGCTCAGGATCCTGATCTGGGAATCAACGGCCTTTTGCGGTATGACATTATTTCTGGAAACAGTAAAGGCCACCTCAAGCTCGACCCTCAGTCTGGCCTTTTGGTGATCAACCACTTGCTTGACTATGAGGAAGACTCAAAATACACCGTCACCATCAGAGCAACAGATGGCGGTGAATCATCTGAAAACCATAAAGTGGCTTTTGCAGTTGTCTTCATCACAGTGCTGGATGAGAATGACAACACTCCATACTTCATGTTCCCTACAGTTAACTGTTCTGTCCTGGAGAACCTCCCAGCATTTGCCCACACCTGTTCTGTCCATGCCGTTGACAATGACTTAGGCCCTTATGGTCAACTCACCTATTCTATTCTGTCCTCCTGCTTCATGGACTACGGTAGCGGCAGCCCTGAGAGGAAGGAGGCTTTTGCCATCGACCCCCTTACGGGTGACATTCACACCAGACAAACCTTTGATTACGAACGCGAGAGTGAGTACTGTTTTGTCGTGGAGGCCAGGGACAAAGGTGACAAAGCAGCTACAGTGAGAGTGCAGGTGGCCATCAAGGGAGTGGATGAGTTCAGTCCTGTGTTTACCCAGAAGCAGTACCACTTCCTCCTGCCAGAAAACATCAAGCATGGGGAGACAATCGGATATGTGATGGCGATGGACCACGATGGAGGGGTGGACGGGCTGGTAGAGTACTCGCTCGTGAATTCATCACCGTTTTTCTCAATAAACAAAACAGTTGGTGCCATCTCTGTGTCAGGTCCCGTGTTTCGCAGGAGAGGAAGCTATGCCAATGAGGACATGGTGGAACTGGTTGTGTCTGCAGGTAGTCCCAGACTGGGCTCCAGGACTACAACCTGCCTGGTTTTTGTCAACATCTCCAGCTCAGCAGAAGCACTGACTGGGGTTCCCCTTGATGCACATATGCTTAGTCTGAGCGTCTCACTCATCATGTTCGTGTTTGTCCTCGTCATTTTTGTGGGCTTGGTTCTCAGATACAAGCTCAAGGAAGCTGCCATCAGAAAGGCTGCTGCCATTGCTGCACAGCTGAAACATGGCTCTGGCTCGTTCAGTAGATCAGATGGCCACAGTGACATATCTCTGCAGGAGATGACGCGACCCAGCCTCTTAATAACCAAGAGGGACATCGCACACCTGTACAATCCATCAGACTCGAGTGGTCGTGGATCAGCAGAAGGTGAGACAGCTGAGGACCAGGAGATCAAGTGGATCAATGAGTACCCCTGTCGGAAAAGAGACGAACCCAGCAAACAGACTGCGGAGATCCCGGACTCTGCCTTACCTGGAGATACTATTTCCTGCCACTCTATCGATGTAGGACCAGAGCACATCTTAGCAGTCAGTAAATCTTTAATCTCAGGGATGCCCAGCACAGAAAGTCTCCACCACTTTAAAGAGGAGGGAGGAGGTGAAGGACTACTTCCTGCAATACTTAGGGTGAGAGATTTGGAGGAAAATGTGCGGATGAAAGGGTACGCCCCCCTTTCTGAAGCCCAAGTCACCGAGGATTCGCTGTCCTCACTGGTGTGTCTGGAGGAGCAGCTGCAGGGCAGCTACAACTGGGACTACCTTTTAGACTGGGAGCCACACTTCCAGACTCTGGCTTCTGTATTCACAGATATCGGGATGCTCCCTGACGAGGAGCTTCAAGGTGGCCGTGAGGACTTAGCAGCAGAGTCGAGCTGCCTCATGTACCCACCGCCTCTCATAACAGGGGTGGCTCAGGCCGGCATTAGGACTGTTCCCCCACGAAAGCCGGGGCGTGTGCCAACCCTGAGCAGGAAGCCCTCTTACCCCAAATATGCTTATTCCCCCTTAGCCAGAAACACAGGACTCACCCCATCTGCTATGACGCCCACTTTCTCCCCATCACTGTCTTCTCTCACCATTAGGACCCCCAGTGCCTCACCAGTGGTCTCGGAGACTGGAGTGGGGGGGATCAGACTTGACTCAGGGCCCCTCACTGCAAGCCTTTTGGAGGCAGAAATTCAGGTGTAAACACCAGTTTTGGCCAAGTTTATCTGTGACATTCAGTTTCAACCTCAACTCACCATCTGGAGTATTTTTAAGGGACCCTGCACAGCTCGGTTTTGTTTTTGATTTATTGATATTCTGATGTAGTCCTGAACTTACTTCCATCATTATCACATTGTCCATTTTTATGATTTTAGACTCAAGGGTTTTGTGAGTCTAAACTCGAGGGGGTGATATGAACATAATATAGTGATTTAATTATGTAGATTGAGGTTGATTTCATAACTCGCTTCTGTAATAAAACTAAACAAGTCCTTGGAAAAGCCTGAACTGAGGCCTGTCTTGCATTATATTCTTGTAATGCAACAGTTTGAATGAGAGCAGATGTTCTAGTCGGCAATTAATTACAGAATATTTTAATGTAAACATGTTTATAAGTGCAGAAAATGAAACACGTTGTTATTGCAGTTGGTTGCAACTTCTAAATTGAAACTTTTCCACGGTTGGTTTAACTTTAATAACCAAAGAAAGGCGACATTGTTCTGCGGTTTTGTCTATCTTCCTGGAATCGTAAAAAAAAAAATGTTGTTTTAAATCCAGGCCCTTTCTTTCCTCCCTCTTCTTTATTATATTCTGCCAATAAAATGTCAATAAAAACCAATGACAAACAGAACTTATTTTATTTCTTCAATCTAGGGCTGAATTTAATATCATATTCAGCCTTTTAAAGCTAGAAACAGTCTGCGTGTTTGCAGATTTCATCCAAAACCAAAAGAAAATATAAGGGATTCTTCACTGACAGTAATTTTGTTCAGATTCCAGAATTGAAATTATATTGTCTTGCTGTCACTGTTCATAAACCAGTTCCAGATTCTGGCCATTGTACTTCATCGTCATGAACAGAAATGGTCTGTTTGCTTCGTGAATGTTTCTGTGTGTGCTGACTGTAGACTTCGGACACCCTGTTAATAAACAGCACTTTATGTATAATTTTCAGAGAATTGTATGACTTTGAATATTAATAAATTTGCAAAGAAGTGATTTGCAACAATGAAACTCTGTTCTGCATTTTTTTGTTTTTTGTGTTTTTGGCACATTTCATTTATAATGTGTAATGATTGTTGGTTGTTTTCCAGAAGGATTTATTTTTATGTATATACACACATTTATAGAAAATGTCCGAGACCTCACCACCTCTATCAGAACACTGCTCCTTAACTGCCTCAAACATCTCATTTTGTATTTTTTGTGTTTTATTACCAGGCTGTTTTTTGAGAGGGAGAGAGATCAATTAAAGTATCCTGTAAATGAAAAATGTGTGAACCTTGAAGTAAATACGAGGTGTTCCAGGCAGTGTTTTGACATTAACTCTGAGCTTTGTGAGGCCTTTTACAGCATTTCCCGTATTTTCCTTTCATCACTTTCAACTGTAGTGGTGCCAAACTCCTTGGCTTGGCTTTAGAACAATAGTGATGAGCAGTCTGCTCGGATTGCGGTAATGGAATCAGTTCATTCGTTCTTCAGTGTTTCCACAAAGAATCGCAACATCCAAAGATGTTGTCAAGTTTGATCGCTATTGACAATCACAAATCCCAGCATGAGTGTTTGCTGATCCCTGGTTTACAACCTCTGAATCTGCATCTTCAGTGATTGCAGTGATTCAAAAGAAAAATATGCGTGAATTAAGTGAAGTTTAATCGTAACAGGCTACCAGTGTCCATCAGTTTTTAACAACCCAACCCATACTGGTGGTTCATAAAAGACACCTGGATTGTGATTAATCATTGCATTTGTTCCACCTTTACTTAAGAAGAAGCTCTAGATAACAGCAATCTGAATATTTCACTTCCCCAAGAAAAGTAAAGAAATACAAAGTGCTTCAACGTGGCTCCACTTGGTCTGCTGTTAATCTAAATGTGCTGTCCTCGGGGAACTTACGAGCTGAGGAAGCTGAGGAGCTAAAGTCTTTATCAGATAGCTTCATGAAAGACAATAAACAGTCGGGCCTTGAACCATACTTGCCAAGTGTGACCTGTATGTAGTCGCTGATAGCTGCGTAATTATTTATTGACTCAATTCAGTCTCTCCTCTGCACCTCGGTGGGTTTTGACAAGCTCCGCACTCTCCTGTATTTGTGATTTCAGTGGGTCCTTGGCCCCAGGATCACGGTGATGGAAGAGATCTCTCACCGTATCAGGTGATCTGGCCAAACAAGCTTCTGTGTCTCCGCACAGAGCTCCACATTCCCCACAAGCTGTGCAAAGAGCCGTTAAATTGATCTTTATCCATTTATGCTGCCTGTCAGTCCGCCAGGAGAATACATTTGCTGAGAAAGGTCAGGAAGTCTCGAGTACAATAAGATTCTTCAACACTTGCACAAAGACAGAGAGATTTCTGGATTGTGTTCAATATATACTTGAGATAAATTTAACGTCAGGAGTCCTGAGCATGACCAGATAAATTGGACCCACTGTTCCTCCCACACTCTATTACATGGTTTTTGTGTGGTCATTTACTGAACTTCAAACACAGATTATTTGGGGAATATGCGATAATGCTGAACTGAAGGTCTAAAAACTAGATTTTGACAGGGAGCTAGTCTCATGAGTCTGCCATTGACTTGTCTTCTGTTTGGAAGGAGGCTGAGGTTGTTCATTTAAAAAACAGGTTGTCTTAAGAGTCTTTATTAGAGAGTTTTCATCTTCCTGCTGTAATTGGTTGATTGTTTCTCCATCGTCATTAGTGAGCCTGATACTAGATCTACCTGAATCATAGGAAATGAACTTCAGCATGCACTGGAGCATTTTGCAGCTGAGTTTCAAGTAACACAGGATTGGAGTCAGCACCTCCGAGTCTGATGCCGCGGTTCTCTGCTGGAGAACAGTGGGCTGCTCCCTCTGGGTTGGGGGTGAGATGCCAGGTGAAAGAGTTTAGGTATGGCAGGATCTTGTTCAAGAGTGAAGGGAAAGTAGGGTGTGAGATGGACGGGGCGGCGTCAGCAGTTATGTCGTCAGTCTACGTTCCAACCACTGCATAGGTGTCAGAAATGCCATCAAATCAGAGGAATGAGTCTTTTTCTTGTCCAGAAATAGATTCGAATACAGCTCTCTGCTTTTGACGTACAAGGAAAGATGGTCTGTTGTTGTTTGGAACCTAAATTAGGAGCACATTGTCGGCTCAAAAACAAACTACAAGAGGTCGAAGCAGACAGTCGCACGCCTGAGTCTGGTTTTGTTGGAAGTTTTTGGGGGTTTTTTTTCTGTTAGAAGTGAGTTTTTCTTCCACACTGTCATCAAGCGCTTACTAACAGGGAGGTTGTTGGGTTTCTCGATAATATCGTAAGTGTTGACCTTACTATGGGAAGTGCCCTGAGATGACTTATGATTTGGTACTGTGTAAAAAAAAAATGCTGAATGAAAGTCTAATGTAATACATCATGTCTCTGTACGTCAACCAGCAGTGTGTGTGACCAGCTACATTTCAGGTAGCTGTAGAAACAGACCTGAAGGAAAAAGACTGCTCATTTAGATTTTGGTAAGACTGAAGGCAAAGTTTTATTGCTCATTTAAAGGCAACATTCCTTTTTTAAATGTACTTAAGTTTTGAAGCTTTCCTCTACATGAATGATGACAAGAACCTTGAGCTGTGTTTAAGGATGAGGAGCATTTGTGTGGCTAGTTTTATTCTAAGCACCTCAGATAAAAGGGGAAGGCCTTTGTTCTTTAATAGAAGAATTTCTGTGCTTATGTTTGACAAATGCGTCACCGCTGTGGCTGGGAAATTGTGTTCTTGTGAGCCAGGAACTTAACTCAAGGGGAATAATAAAGTCCTACCTCCATCATAATACGCAATCATCTGTGTCAGATCCTCACTTGTCAGAAGAAGAGAAGATTAAGATCTCGTAGTCCAGTCTGATTGTCAACTGGAAGAAGAGGCATGGTGATGAATAAAACACAGCTGTGTTCTCATCCTGTCTTGGACTTCATTATTTGCATTCTATTGAGATATATGCTGGCCTCAGAACAAGCTCTGCATTGTGGTTTCTGGCTCGTCTGACAGCAGACTGGAGGCTATAAGATGCACCGATGAAATGTAGGTTACATTCAACTGGCAGAAAAATAGTCGTGGAGGAGGAAAGTGTAGTCTGAGTGACAGCTAAAATTATTTGTAAAACAGTTTTCATATCCAGTGTTGAAGAGTTTGATGGATTAGTAGTTGTTCCTCTTGGCAAAAAAAAAAAAAGATTTGATGGACTAGAGGACGCAGAACATTTGTCGACATATATCTCATAGATTCATTTGCGTTCAGCTAAACCGGAGGTCTTAACAGAAACAAATGTAAAATCTAATTAAATGTATTTGTAGAAGTCAGATTCTTGTTCTTGATGTTTTCGTGCCAGAGGGGCGTCAAATAAAACCCGCGTGTGTAATGAAGATTTGTAGCGTGAGATATTCCTTACAGATTCCACCTGCTGCCAGCAAAGCTTCAACAAGAGCGTTTAGAAACTCTTCTAAAGATCTCTTACATGAAAAATGGTCTGCATATAGACGGAATTCAAACTGGAAGATGAAAACAGTTCCCCAGAGTAAGAATCTGGCTGTGGTTCTTTTAAAGGCATTTGCATATTTTCTAGCTGAATTCAATCTTGTTGAGTAAAAAAAAAAAATTGTTTTGTTGTTTTGCCCTTTGATCAAAGTTTGCTGTAGAAATGTGAACATGCTGTAAAATCACCAGCAGTGACCGTATGTAGAGTAGAAAAGCACTGAATATTTTTTCATTGTGAAATTCAAGTGTAAAATTGATTTTCTTCATGTGTCTTTACCAACAAAACCTTAATAATATGGTCATGTTGTAGATTCACAATGGCAAACCTTGTTCTTAAAAGAAGGGCTGTTTCTTTATTATAGATTTTAATTGTAAATTAGTGAATATAGTGACTGTCACACAACATTGTATGTAGATTTACATTTTTTTTGCGTGGCTCCATACAAATGCCAGCCTTTCTAGCACAAAACATTGAGTCA